GTTTCAGGACGCCGCTACGGGTCCCCCCCCCCCCCCACATCAACCCACTTGCTGATCCTGAGCAGCAAGGAAGTCACACTGAGTCGAGCATTAGCAGATGAAGATCTCCTGTCTTACAGTCAAGAGGACGGATTCTTCTGCTCTTCCTCCAATTGACGTGTTCTTTAGGAGTTAAAACCCAGTTCTCCCAAGTGTGTGTGGCTGTCCCCTCTACCCATGTACAGCCTCGTCCCAAGGCCCACCAAATAGAATATTTGATTCTGAAAACCAGAGTCAACATAATGTGGCCGCCGATGCTGGAGGATTTGCAAAGACCTGCCATTTTGACATAATACCACCGTTCACCGACAGGCTGGGTGTTCATAGGCAGGTGTACATTTCCCACCAGAGGGGCACTAAAATATCTGGTCTGTCCCGAGGAGATTCAATTTAGCCTTAACTGGAGAGCATTCTTTTCCAGACTATAGCTAGGCAGTAACGGTAGACGAAATGTTCTCAGTGGTGTTTGTAAGGTTCCCCTCCCCCCACCAAAAAATCTTCAGTATTATGCATATTCTAGTGTTCTCCTCAGTAGCCACTTGTCACAGTATGTCGATGAGTGCAAGAATTTTTTTGTTGCTTAGGCTACAATAAAATGTGTTTTTTTAGATCTCACAACACCTCTGGAAAGCATATGATAAGTGAAGCATTGGAGGTAACAGCACTTCATTTGGCTACATAAAGAATAAAAAGGAAGTTGTTCACACACCGCCAGAGAAACTGACGAGGTTGCCAGGGACCCAGTAAACGCTGGGATAATTCACTGCTTTGCATGAACCCGGCACCGTCCTAGGGACCGGGGAGGAACAGGTCATGGCGAGGGCACAAAAGAAATCTAAGAAAGAATGCTGCTCTCAAAAAGTGTGTAGTCTAGTTGAGAGAATATAAAAGACTTCTGGAATAACTAGGTAATCAGACATAAACTAACAAGCAGGCCGATCTTTAGTGAGACAGAAGTTGGAGAGGGGTGAAGTCTGTGCAGGAGGCATCCCCGAGTACGTGCTGTCACACTTCCCTCTAGGGTGCTGTAGCCACACTGCTCTCCTCTCCTTCTCTCCTTCCTGCCTCTCTCATTTTCCATCCGGATCCTGCCTTTTCTCCTACTTATCTTCGTCCTTCTTTCTTTTTCCTCTTGTCTTTCTCTCCCACCCCGGTTCCTCTTCCTTCCGGTTCCTTTCTTCTCTCTTCCTAATTCCTCAGTTATGTTCACCTTCTTTCCTTCTTCCTCTCTTACTTCCTCCTTGTGTCTTGCTTCCTCCTCCCTTCCCTTCCCTTCTTTGCCCACCCGCATTCTGTATTTCTCTCTGCAGAAGTTTGTTGCGCGGTGTCTGTGTGCTGATGCCATGCATCGCCCAGGGATATGAAGAATGAACAGGATTTAAATGTGCACGAAAAGCCAGCCGTCAGTTTATCCTATGGAAGGAAATCTGGTTTTGCAATTGGCTTCTCTGACTCTCCAGCCTTGACAAAGCCTATGCCAGTGTCTTTTCAGTGCCTCAAACAAGAACTCCTCATCACTCGGCTTCCTTGGCCTGACTGATATGGGACACGGAGCCAGCCAGCCCCATAATAAAACTGATTTATGTCTGCTTGTGTCAATTTATATACACGCTCAGAGGCCTGGCAAAGAGGCAGTGGGCTTGGGCTGGAGTCAGCAAATCAGAAAATAAATCAAGCAGATATTACAAATTACCTCTGCAGTGTTACCACCACACAAGCCCCTTGGTTACACAGAGTCTTTATTCCTTCTCATATTTTCTGTTCTTTTTTTTTTTTTTTTTTTAATTAGAACAAATCAACCCTTTCTAAAAGAATAGATGTCAGACTTGGAAAATTTTAAGCAGAACAGAGGGGAAGGAGATCCACTGACAATACCAAAGGTTGAAAAGACGCAGACCACCAATTTCCTGGAACAAAAGCAAGCTGAGTAAAAGGGTGATAAAAGCATCATGTCTGTGACGATCCTGCCCACTTTCCAGGGCACCAAATACGTGGTGTATGTGTAAATGGGGCACAGCATGTCCCTACCCTCTATGGCAGGGCCACACAGAAGTCTGTTAACCACGTGTATTTGATTCTGCTCCCAGCACCCACGAGAAGACCGCGGTGCTCTGAAAGCAGGGCTGGATTGGGCGTCGCG